TGCACGAGTTTTGAGACACAGTGACCTGAAATACAGCAATTATTTTTGAAAGTCAAGTAATAAAAATATTGTGCTATCTTAAATTATCAAAAATTTCCTTTTAGCGACCTATAACTTAGATTCCACGTTGGCGAGATTAAGAATTAACAGGAAAAAACCCGATAAGTACCTCTAAGAAATAAAATCGCCTGCAAACCTGCGCACCTGAAATCTTTTAAAATTCCTGTTGGGCTGGTTTGCCTAATAAGTTCCCTTTGCCTTAAATACACAGACTTTTGGCACATACAAAATATTTTAAATACAAGCAAATTCTTGCGTGCCAGTTTGCAGTGACCGTTCAACGAGAGGAAGTTGCATGCTATCCGCTTTTGATCGCAACACTAATGAAACATAAAAAACGAGTTCGAAACCTCACCAGTGCGGTAAAAATAACAGTAGAATTCGGCTGGCAGCGCATCGACATGAAAAAAGCCCAGGTCAGAATAAAAGGCATCGGATCGAAGCTTGGCTAAGGGTTGAACCCTGAATGCTAGTAAGTTACCTCACGCTGTTAAACCGAACAAAGCAAAATAATTAAAACATACATGGACTGCTATAAAGTTTCACTTTTAGGCCAGATCATTTTTCAGTCAATTCGGGGACGCAAGACAGTCAACATTTCTGGTTTATAGAAAACGGTTGCTAACAAAGAAGAAGACGGCGATTACCGGTTGTGGTTCAGCCACAGAATGCATATGTGAGTTGAGAGTTTAAGGCAGTGGGTGATCGAGCGGGGCTCTTACACCCGAGCTCCGGGTCCACGTCATGTGCGCTGTGAGTTGGAATATCCAGTCTAATCGGATTACCATGCAACAACCTAAACTCTTTGATGGACAGAAACGGAAATTTCAACTTTGCCGCAAAACTGCGCACCTAGAATACACCCACAGTAAGGCGCTAGTTACGATATATGAACTGAATTTAAAAAAACTTACCTCAACATTAAGTAGAATAGAGGTAATCTGACAATCAAATGTTTCGGATATTCCTAGTTTGTTTACTAACAGTCAGTATTAACTGGAATGAAAGAAAGTAATTCCGATAGCGGTCACCAAGCTACTTAAATTCTTTGTAAGTATTATCAAATAAAAGTAGGAGGATAAATGAGCATAGAAAAAAACCGCGGAAAGATAACCGAAGGAAGCAAGATTCAAAGAACGTATAAGGTTATTCGTCAGCAAGCTCGGTCACATTTACAGACTCAATAGATCTTGAATTAAAATTCAGATCAGTAGATTTACAATGAGCCACTCAAACAAACGAGCAATCTGTCAGTTGCCACTGCGTCTTCGGAAACCACGGACAAACCGAAAGTCCTTGGCTCGCTCGAGGTGTCGTTAATTTAAGTGAGAAATAAAATCAGCGCACTGAGGGCACGCATATTGATTTTTTAGCTCAGAGCTTCTGGGTTCAAATGATTATACTGCTTAAATACTTGGAAGAAGTGTGAAGTGTTTAGCATTGTTTTTATTCATGCAGCTAACGTGCAGAAAAACTTGAAAAAGAAACGATTTTCTCCTTTTAGAAAGAAGTCCGTTGAGCACTCACCTGGAAGAAGTATGGCATCGTAAGCATCGTCGGGTCGCATGAAATACCAGCTGACTGTGGGCAGCGGGTAGCCCTTGATTTCGCACCAAAAGGTTGTTTTCGATCCCTCAGCAACACTCACCGAGGGCGATGCATCGAGGATTTTCGGTTCTACAAATCAAGACGATAAAATCAGCGGTTCATTCATCTTCCCTGTGG